CCTTGGAGGAGACCGCGGGGTAGACGAAGTGGGAGCCGCTATCGGGATGGGAGGGGAACGGGGTTTTGAGCTCCGCGGTTGCCTAACAGGTGGGTGGGTGAGTGCGTGTGTGGTGGGGGGGGGGGGGGGGGGGGTTATTGGGTTGGGTTTAACAAGGGTATCTTCGGGGAGTGCCCCGAGATCGATTCACTAAGCTTCGTTTCCATCTGTATTGCCTTCGTTTATTATTATTATTATTGTTGTTGTTGTTGTTGTTGGGGGGAGCCACTATCACCGTGTTATTGTTTCATCTAGGCTTTTGTTCTTGGAAAGTGAAACCTACGTATAGAGATTGGCATTTCTATTCATATCCATCACTAGGGAGATCCATATTCATGCATTCTTCGCCCATCATGGTATCGCACTCTCCGGAAGCGATAGAGGTGGGCGACGAGCTCATCGGAGGGGGCTCCGGGGGGGAGGTGGCGGAGGCGCCCCTCGCGGCCTCCACGCCCGGCCCCTCCCCGACGGAGCAAATCGTCTTCCATCGCACGGGCGATCCGCCTAGCGTGGAGAATCTTCCTCGAATGACCTCCCACAACGATCTGATCTCGGGGCATCCAAGAGAACGTGGAAGTAACGCGAACGGCCTCGCGATCGGGCAGGTGATGCGCGCCGTAACGAGTGCGTTGCCTGAAGGCATGCATCTTTCGCGAGAGGCGCGGGTGGCGTTTCAAAAGGTCGCCACCACGGCGCTGCTTTACATCGCCTGCCTCGCGGATGACGCGCGATCCTCCCGGACGAAGGGGAAGAAGCGGAAGACGCTCACTGTGCAGGATGTTCGAGACGCCTTGGAGGCCGCCGGGCTCGCACACCTCATTCCCCTTATGCACACCACTGTTAAGCGAAATCGCGAATAAGTCGGATTTTCAGACTCTCCAGCCACCCTCTTCACCTCAAGGAGGGAATATCAGGTAATTATATAGGAAAATGTCTGTGTGTGGGGGAGGAGGCACGAGCACAACGTGGTTTCCTGTGTATGTGTTAGATGTGTGATCCATAGATTATTGAGCCGCATAGATAGGGGTGTTTAAATAGGTCCAATGCTTTGGCGGAGGGAAAAAGTATTTTTTGTTCTTCGCTTTACTATATGAAAGTCTTGTGATGCTTCTAAAAAGAAGTTTCCACGTGGTGCCAAGAACAAGGTTTAACGTCTACATTCCTATTGCCTCTGCGTCTCTGCTTACTCCTAAGGGTTTTTAGTCATATATATCCTTTGCAGATCAATATATATATATATATATATATATATATATTGATCTG